CCAGAAGTCCCCGATGAAACAGTGGTGGAAAACATCAGCACCCTGAACATCCTTACATGGAATGGTCAGGGCATCAAAAACAAGAAACACTTCCTGCAAGAAGCAGCAGCCAAGTACAAGCTTGACATTATACTGCTACAAGAAACACTTCTACAAGAACACCACTGTTTCAAATTCAGTGGTTACAAGACATACAGGAGGCATTTCAAGAAGGCGTCAACAAGAGGATGTATGATCTTGGTCAAGTCGAGCATACCCTCCTCCGAGGTCATGCAGCAATTTCCATGTGGGGACAACATTGAGACACAGGCCGTCAAAGTAACCCTCCAAGAACGAGAATTAACTGTTCACAACATCTACAAGAACCCAAGGGGCTCACTGTAGGTTACTCAATTATTCGCTTCAGCCGCTGACCACGCCACACACATAGGAGGGGATTTCAATGCACATCATCCCTTCCTAAGCTCGGTAAGCCCACAAATGAAGACGGCCTACACCTATACACCACCTTTCAAGACACACCCGAGATCAGCCTCCTGAACACCGGAGAGCCCACCAAAATTAGGGGAGGAAGGCTAGATCTAACCTTCGTCTCCAGTGCACTACAGCCTTCGGCCTCCTGGCAGCTACACCCCACGCTGACTAATGACCACTTTGCCACCCTAACAACACTGAAGGTGAACAAACTGGGAATTCTACAAGAAACACCTGTCTAAGTGGCGCGCAAAATCACAGCCGGCCGGTGCAGTACCCGTGGACGAGACAACCCTCCACCAACAATTGGTCGAGGCGTTTCACCAAGCGGCAGAAGAGGCTATTCCAAAAACAAAACCCACATCAAGACAGTGCAAGGACTACTGGTACTACTGTCCTAGAGTGAAAGAACTCAACCACAGAGTGAACATGGCCCGAAGAAACTACAGGAGACATCCCACGGAAACAAACAGACATCTCGTGCAAGTCATGGTTAAGGATACCAGGGAAGAGAAGGAAGAAATCGAAAGCGTAAGCTGGCTCAAGTGGTGCTCCGAACTGAACGAGCACACCTCCCTCGGCAAAATGTGGGCCCAGATCCGAAGGGCATCTGGGAAGGCAACACCACCACCACCAACCCATCCCAACCCAGAAGAGGTAGCCGAGAGACTTCCAAAACTGTTCTCTGACCGAGCAGCAACGAAAAACCTCCCGAGACATGCGGAGGAGACACAACGGCGTCTGCGACAGGCCAGACTCCAGATGATCGAAGAGGCCTGCAACAGTGAAGATGACACCGATAGACCTTTCAACCAGCAAGAACTCCAGAAGTCGATAAAACGAAGCAAGGACACAGCACCAGGGGCCGACAGGATAACCTACTCCATGCTTTCCCATGCCGGAAAAGCCGGGCACGAGGCTTTGCTACAAGTCATCAATGCCTCGTGGACAGCACAAACACTTCCACCGGAATGGAAGAAGGCAGATATACAGCCCATTCCGAAGCCCAGAGAACCAGACAAACCGAGACCCATCTCCCTTTTCAGCTGCATAGCAAAGACGGGAGAAAGAATGGCTCTCAACAGACTCAAGTGGAAAGTAGGCAGCCCACACCCTCACATTTTTGCACAGGCAACAACATCGCCGAGATACTCAGCACAGTGGACAATAAACCAGCTTTGGTGGTCTTCCTCGACCTAGAGAAGGCCTTCGAACTAGCAAATCCACTGGCCATTATAACGACGCTCGCTGAAAAAGGCGTCAAAGGAAGGTTGCTGGGGTGGATCCAAAACTACCTCACACAGAGAGAAGCAAGAGTACGCTTTCAGGGAGCAACCTCAAGCTACAGGGTCCATGAAAACGGAACCCCACAAGGAGGCATCCTCAGTCCAACGCTGTTCAATGTCCTGATGAAAAATCTTGTCAGACTTCCTTTCAGACAAACAGCCATGCTCCTATGCTATGCAGACGACTTACAGCTCATAGTAAGAAGAGCAAACAGACTAGCCAACACGCAACACGCACTCCAACTTATAGAAGAGGAGTGCAACAGACTTGGACTCAAGATAAATCCAGCCAAGTCGAAAGCGATGGCCATCTGCACAGACACACCAGACAAGATAATCTCCATACAAAACACGCCGGTCGTCTGGACCAACACCGACCAGTGTCTTGGAATCTGGTTCGACCAGAAACTCACTTTCAAGCCGCCACTCGAGTTTCTCAGGCACAGGACGAAGAGCAGACACAATATAATGAGGTCGCTCACCAGCACAACCGCAGGAGCGAACATACATGTGCTCAAAGCCTACTACACGGCCGCCATCAGATCGCTGGTAGATTACAGTGCTCCAGCACTCACTGGACTGAGAGAAGACCAGATAGCTAAGCTAGAAGTTATCCAAAATAATGCTCTCAGGACCATGCTTGGAGCATCCAGTGGACCAGAATTTGCAATTTGCAAATGGAAACTGAACTACCACCCCTGGCAGGATGAGTCAAGCAGGTGACAGCCGGTCTCCTCGCCAAAATCTGTAGATCAGATAAGCCCACAGCTGCCAAAACGCGAATCAGTGCCTCCCTCCACCTCAACCACAGAGTGCGAGGGGCCACCTGGTCGCACGAGGCAAGCGAGGTCATCCGACACCTGCCAGCAAAAACACTCGTCAAGAACAATCAAGACATACGAGACAATGTTTACGTAGTTCCTCCACTATGGAGCCCTCCTTCAGCCACATTCAAAATTACCGAACTAGGTGATAGCAAAGCCAACCTCCAGAAGGAGGACCTCAAAAGAATAACTCTGGAAGCCATAGCCACCGAGACACCGGCTGATGCAGCATCATACTTCACAGACGGCTCGGTGGACCCAAAACATCATACATCCGGAGCGGCCTTCTACACCCAAGGTCAGACCCTCCGATGGAGACTTTCTAATAAATGCTCCACCCTACAAACAGAGTTGGTAGCAATCTCAAAGGCCTTGCAACACGCTGCAACACAACACAACAAGTCCATCATAATTCACACGGACTCGAAAACGGCCATGCAGGCGCTGCAACACAGTCAACCAAGAGACAACGTCCACATCATAACCTCGATCCTCACACAGCTACAGGACTTCCAAAGACAAAACCGCCCAGTCGTCTTACACTGGATTCCCAGTTATGTAGGGATCCGGGGAAACGACGTAGCAGACGAAGCAGCCAAGGCAGCCACACGTTCTAGAAGCGTACACATTCAAGTTCCAGCAAGCGTGCAACAGATCAAGAATCACCTCAGAAAGACTACCAAGCTCCACATCCAAAAGAACTTCCTTCGCGCATTCAACGCTGGTTCCCAATCAGCCAAATGGTACCTGGCGGCTACAAGAGGGGAACCACCTTTCGGGGACAAGAAAACACCAAGACAAACCCAAGTTAGCCTTCATCGACTACGACTAGGGTACAAGTGCTCTTGGCAGACGATCGGAAATGTCGTCATGGAATGCACCTACTGTCAGGAGCCAACAGCCAACCCACTTGAACACTATCTCCTCGACTGCGAAGTCACACAAAGTCTCCGAAACAGAATTGAAAACTTCCAAGAACACACAACACCAGCGGCCACTCAAACCCGAAAGACCCAAACAAACCACATTCACCACCTTCTCCGGGTCATCACACGTTCCCACCACCCAGATAGCTTAGGAAGTATCCTCCCTCAGCAAGTGCGGACCCCAGTTCGGGGGGCGCGCCACTCCTAAACTGACCACGTCCAACAGTGGGGGTTGGTGGTAAGCGTCCACTGATCGAGGGTCCGTTCACACTTGCAACCTGCAGTATCCTTTCATATCTGCAGGTAGGACAACCTCCAATCCCAAATCCGGTCTGGCTGCTCCAGGAGCTCCAGCCGGAACCACCAAACGGGCCGCCTATAGGCAAAGGCCCGTGTCGGACTACGGTCCGACAATCTCAACAACAAAACAACCCTATGTCCATCGTCGGCAGAGGGTCGGTCATTGAGCCACATGTAAGCTCACTTGGGGACCCCCGATTACAGGAGGAGGCCACCCTCTACAGCCCCAGCCGGGGTGCGAGGTGGAGCCGTAGCCTCTGCTGGAGACCCTGACTTCTGAGGTTTCTGCTTCTTTGACTTGTCTTCAAGAAGAAAGTCGTCAGCATCACTGTCACCTACTGCCGCCGTTTCCAACGAACGGGAGCGTTTAACGGCGGGCATACGGCGCGTTGGTAACACTGCAGTCAGGTAGAGTGGTAATGACGTCACTGCTACGTCACACTATCACATTGTGCATGCGCAAACTTGAAAAACTTTGCCCAGAGGGATCGGGTGGTAGGACCAGATGTTTTTATCCCCAAAAAATGACAGTCCAAAAGTAAAAAAAAAAATAGATGCCACTGTGCTGATAACTGGGTCTTACTATAATTGTCTGCACAAGCTGGGATTGGTAGACTCGCTGAATTCGTCAGAAATACGACTTTTAAGGAGCAGTCTCTTACAAACTTTGTTGACACTACAGCACACATGCGCGTTCCCTCGACAAAGTTAACATCTTTTCCCAGTAGTGACAAGTTTGCTCATCTGATTCTTCCTCCTTCTTCTATAGTTTTTATTATGAATTGGTATTTCTAATTGCTATTATAACTCTTCATAAGGATTTTCAGTTGTATTTACCTTTGATGTCACATTATCGGTACAAAAGAAAGATATATGAAAAGAGTTCATTAGAAAGCGAATTTCATCCCTGACTTCCTCTCTGAAGTGCTAATATCTTGAAATCATTTGCATTTTGACAGCTTAGTTATTTAATATTACTTAGAGAATAACAGGATCTTCTTACCAATTGTAAACATAATTTGAATAAATGAACAGCCACACAAAAATTCTATGAACCAATCAGCAATTTGTAGCTATAGACAAGGGGAGTGGGTTACGGGCCAGGATAGCGTGGAAATACTATACAGTAGTTCCTTATCTCTCTTACTACACTATAGTGATCTTCTCTCAGTAACCAAAAAACAAAACAATTCATTCTTACGAAGCTTTTATTTTGATTTCCCCATAAATTTGAAATAAAATTTACAGTGCCAGACATCAGATATCCTCATCTCTTTACTGTTCAATGCCAGTAAAAGAAAAAAAATAGCAAGAAGACTTTGAGCAATTTAACATGTTTTTAACAACCCCATACAGTAGAATCCCATATATCTCTGCTGTCATTCCCTACTATAATTAATTTGTATCTTAGACTAACACTTTGTGTAATTCCCTGCCACGAAAAGTTTTCCTATACTGTACCAAACAATCCTCAACTCTTCAAAATTCCAAGATTCAATTTTATTTAATGTTTGAACAGGGGAGCATAGTGAATAAGAACATTGACACTAGTCTAATCTCCTGCATCAAATTGCTTTTGAAAAATAATCGTAATGTTTTCATTGTGGTATCTGAATTACTTCTAAAGTAAATGTACAATACACATGCATATGGAATTCTTCAAATCAATCAATATAGCCGTCTCCTGTATAGGGCCGGTGGTTCCCACTTAAAATAATTCGGTGAGAAACTCGGATCAAAGACCTGATTTTAGTAACACTTAAGTCTCATTTTCCTTTCTGCAGCTTTCCTCCAGAAAATTCTGATACCAGTGACTCTGGTCACGGACGTGGAGTTCGAAGAAGCTCCGAGCCTGCTGCCATAAGTCCTCCTGAGCCTTGCAGAATCCTACAGCATTTCCTGCCCAGTATGATGCTACCATTTCTTCTTTGGTGGAACCTGGGAGTTTCACGTTATTATAGCTGTGCTCCGGGAAGGTATTATATGGCATTTCTATTATGTGACCGACCCCTGGGTACACTATAGTTCGACACTGATTTTCCCGTCCATGCAGTTTCATGCGGTGAGCCATCGCTTGGACGCTGTATTCCGTGCGAGTCGTATCTTCGTCGCCAGCAACGAACAAGAAGTATGTGTCGTCTGGGGCTGTCTCGCACGGTAATATAAACGAGTTACCATCGCGGAAAAAGTCCTGCATAACTTTGTCAACAAAAATTATACCCTGGTTCTTAGAGTCATATGTTACAAATTTCTCTAAGCCATTGTGTAAGCCCTTCCAAAGTTCCTTCCCTCGGTAAGTCATTGTCGTTAACATGGGAGCCACACTGCCACAAACACTGAAGACTGCTTTTACTTTTTCCAGGTGTATTGCCATGGTGAGACTTATTTCTGCTGCTTTACTTGAGCAGAACAAGGCACAGCGGTCAGGGATGATTCTAGGCTGAGATAGAAGAAACTCTACTGCTTCTTCAAAGTAGTCCAGTTCATAAATGTCATGTTTTTTGGGTAAGTCTTCATAACTGAAGAAAGGGAGAGCCAAGGAAGCGAAGCCTCTGGATGCGAAAATCGCTGTAAATAAACATTAATCTATATTAAACAGGTGATTCATTATTGTCAATAGGTAATCTATATTCGAAGTAAAATAAAAATAAAAATCTAAAAAGTCCCCTCCCATCCTGAGTTTGGGTCATACAGCTCGTTTGGGTGTTCGTTGTGTTGGCAACAGCATCTATTCTGTAAAAATTGTAGGGCTTATAAGAAGGGTATTTTAGGCAAAAAAGGTATATTTACTGCAAAATAACCCATGATAATTATGTAGAATACCCCATTTTTGACATGCTCGGTTATATTGGTGTCTATAATACTCTTTATGTTGCAGTTGGTTCTTACGTTATCCCTTGCTTTTTTCTCTCTCTAGATATCTTCGATTCATTCTTTGTAAAATACTCTGAATATAACACGGAGTGTGCACTGAAAAATCAATAACCATAAATTTTCCTTGAAATGACCTAAAGGCTTAAATAGTATTTCATTAAAATACAATTAGTTTCATTGTGACATATGACCTAACTGCTTATTAAAGTTGCCAGATACACTTCCGTCCCTCCAAGAGTTTTGAGGACACGACACACTGCCTTTCCTAATCTACTTTGTAAATTAATGAGCTGAAAAAAAATATATATATTTTGGATTGAAAATTATTCCTGATTAATCACATATGCTACTTGGGTAATATTGTCAGAATATAATCATGATAATGTGTGACGAAGAGGAGAGGGAGGTAAAGTTGGTAATTTGATGACTCAATATGTAACATCCAATCTTAAAGATCCTGTTTCACCTAAGTAACTCCACTGTACATGAGGAGGAGGGGAGAAAATGAAGTAAGAGAAAAAGAAAGATATATGGTATAAGAGAAAGTATCAGAGTTGTAAAAGATACCGGACTCTATTAACTAAAAGTATTTTTACATTGGCAAAATGTTACTCAAGTAGAAGTAAAAGTATCCAAAGTTCAATGTAATTCAACACTATCATCACTTCTTCCTTATCCACACAAGTATCGTCGACGTGGACTTATGCTCCGCAGACATAATGTTGTCTCCGCTCGCATTTGATTAGGAAAGACCTATCTGGCATGTACCTCTTCCTGTAAACTCTGTGACTGTCCCACTGTCAGGGACCTCCTTCCACAGTAAGAGTCACTAACCACTATACTGTATGTCACCACTTACTTATTCATAATAAATTAGATTTAATTCTTGTACGCTACCCACGCTTTAGTGGGTGCAAACTCCCATTGTCCTTAAATCATATTAATATTGTCTCCATATCACAAGTCATAACGTGTCCTGCGAGACACGAGTACCAATGTATGTCTGACCGCATGGTCTTGGGACTAGGCTTGTCGCCCCATGCGGTGTAATAAAATAATTAATTAACAAGCCCAGTATGACTCTACAGACACTCACAAGCATCAGATGCAGGTAATGGGGGTGTTAAGCTTGAGAGATAAATCACATTATGTCGGGAAAGGCCTCAGTAGCTCCATTCCATCACCTGGACAACTGCACTGGTTAACCATTACCCCGGATTGTTTTTTTATTTATTTTTTTTTAATTGGGCACCCCCCTACATCCTTGTGTAAGGTGAAGCACAGAAGCGTTTACAGCGCCGAACAGGGAAGCATGCTAAGTTCATGCTTGCCTTATGTCTCATGAGTTAAGGGCGTAGAAGCCTGAAGAGTTATTGGAAGTTCCAACACTTGTCCCTGAATACGAATTCGCAACTTTCGACTTACAGCAGGTACCTTCTTTGCTGCTAGGTGAACAGGGACGAAGGGGACTAGGAAGAGTGTCCAAACAACTTCCGCCGGCCCAGGAATCGAACCCGTGACATCTTGCTTGCGAGACAAGAACGGTACCGCTCTACCACCAGCTCCCCCTATTACCCGGGAATACGATCCGCAAATCGATTAACATCCAGGTTCCCAATTATTGCTGGGTAGACAGTGGCAAATGGCATAATCGAACTCGCCCATAGTTTCACCCTGCCCTGGGATCGAACCCAGGCTCGCTTGCTTGTGAGGCAAGCATGCTGACCAATACACCACAGGTCGCCAGCTGATATCCTATGGGAAGACCAAGCCCCTGAAGGAAAGGTTGGGGAGAAGAGAGGGGGGTAGGCTAGGTGAGGTGGGTGGTTAAGGTACTAATGGACACAAGAAGATCAAAGGGAAATTCCACTGTCATAGCCACTGTCACCCAATCTGACCTGAGCTCATTAGACCTCTAGGTATGTGGCCGCTAGGTGTCTCCCAACACCACACTACTACTAGTACTTTGCTGCCACTCGGAATCGATTATGACGATCATCCAGCTCTGATAAAATGATATGAATTATTAAGGATGCCACCTTCGTTCGTGAGTTCTGAGGGGACTATAGAGGCCGATACGGGACCGGCAGAGTCGTTCACAGATGTTGCACATGTTTAGGGCTACATCTAGTGCGGGAGGGGCGGCAGTAGCATATTTCCAGTGCTGGCGCTTGTCTTCCTTGGTTTGCAGTAAGGCTAGCTCGAAAGTAATGACACCTTCTCGTGTGGTGATCCTCCAAGCGCTATGGTGTGGAGTAATCTTCTCCTAGGTATCAGCTTCGGTTTGAGACAGAGGGTTGCTCTGCCCATCAGTTAAAGCAGCACGTTTATCTTTGATGAGTACATTGATTTCTGGGTCATTTTCATCAAACTAGTCCTGGTGTATTCTTTTGATCTGGCCAAGGGTTTCTCTGCAGGTTTTTGTCATGACAGTGTCGAGAATATCCCATTAGGCAATGGGATTTGGGTTATTTGTTGTTGGGTTGTTTATCATCCCATGTTCGAGCTGCTCTCTGAAGGCATGGGCTACCACTGGATCCTCCAAACGCTTTGTGTTAAAACCTCTTCTGGAAAATTGTTGGTTTCGCCGTTTTGGGGCAAAGTGTAGCGAGAGCTTGGTTCTAACGAGCCGATGATCAGTGTTACAGTGGTCTGAGCCACTCATGGCTTGGGTAATGAAGACATCTCGGCGATCTTTTCCTCTGACAAATGATGTAGTTAATGAGATGCCAGTGTTTGAATAGTGGGTGTTGCCACGAAATCTTGAACGTATCAGCTTTGTAATGATTATTTATCAGACCATAGCTTACAGCCCAGAAGAAACAGCATATATAAGAGTAAGTGGATGAATAGGTGTACACCCACGCAAGTTGACACACCCTACGGTGAGATTAAGACCTGACCCAGGAAAGGTCATGGACACAAGGTACCTGAGTTAACCCAGCCTTACGACCGTGTTAGAGAAACTACACCTGCAAGACACACCTGGGTGGTAATAGTTAGGAAGCATTACCGACCGGCGACATGAACGTGTTTCTCAAGAAGCTACCCTCAAGGCTGAACACCTGTCACCTGACCAGACACACCCAGATTAGTGACGACATCTTCCGGCTGGAGATCTCCAATATAAGGGCCCTGCAGCTCATTGGCATTCTGATTATTATTGTAACAGGGAAGGGGCCGACAGCTCCTTCCCAGACGGAGACTTCCCTCCACAGCACCGAGTCTCCAACTAGGTGAGTCTCCTATAGGAGATATAGTCCAGTAGCACCTGCAGCTTCCCCAGCCGTTGGGCCTCCCTCAGGTCACACATGAGTCATTGTCAGAGCAATCCATTAGGGTGAGTTACTTACGGTGGGAAGTGTATCCATTTCATGTTTGTTGTCCGAGTCATTGTATAGTAACGTAAATGTAATGATCTATTAGTGTGTCTGTGTGTTACGAGTTGGGGATTTAGAATATAGTAAAAAGTCTACCCAGATCCCAACAGGTAACAACAATAAAAAAAACAAAGACAATCGGACTATAAAAGGGTAGACAAAGGATGAGAGTTTTTGTTAGGTATAATAGAGTACCATAAATCCCTTAACAAAATATTCAGCTTATAAATTACCCTTAACCAAACTTAACCTAAACATTAACAGTATATACATATTAATACAACATAAAACAATTTTGAAGCAAGTGGACGTGGGGGAGGCAATACAAGATTACAAATACTTAAGTGAGGAGCTGAGATGGCTGACGAGTAAGGCTGAGTATTGTAGAAGACGGTAGGTAGTCACTGCGCCGTAGGTTTAGAGGATAGATGATCCTGTGGTCACTTCCCAGAGCCAAGTGCTCTCTCCTCGAATTGGAGCTCACAAAGAAGACTTGGAGGAAGTGACGCAACAACCAGGATATGAAGAAGGGAAACCCCGGAGTGTTAACTAAGACGAGTCATACTCGTGTCTCGTCCCTAGATGGCGTTGCTCGAGGTGCTGGGTAGGTAGATCAGGACAATAGATGGCGTGGTTCGTAGTGCTGGGTGGATGGGTTCGTAACACTGTGTCATTCAGTTAACTAATAAATAGCTGTACTTAGAGTTGGTGTTTAGAGAACCCCCCCCCCCAAAAAAAAATAATATCAAGTGAAAGTAACGATTCGGCCACGCTAGTAAGGTCGTTATATATTTATTAATGTGTTTCATTACAGCTTGCCTAAACAAGGAATTGGTGATAGTGAAAGTCTATGCAGCACACTTGCTGAGGTTACACTTGTATAGTCCATTTCTCCCCATGATTCCCTGCCAAATATCAGCATATCAACTCTGGTTTGAATTCACCAAGGAGCACAACCTTATCATCTATTGGGATAGAAGTTAGCACTCTGTAAAAGTCGGCGTAAAAGGCCTTCTGCATCCAGTGTTGGGGCATATGCACTGATGAAGAAGGCATGGCATGAGTGATTCAGTGGGACTCGAAGCGGCATGAGGAGTGGATGCATTGCCGGATGGCAAAGCCAACTCCATGAATGCTGTTTCTCTCTGCAGCAGGCTTACCCTTCCAAAAGAAGGTATAGTGGGACCCCCGTTCTATGAGTCGATCCTCCTCTGGCAGCCGGGACTCACTATTGGCTGCTATGTCGATGTTATATCTAGCCAGCTCTTTTGCCACAAGGGCAGTTCTTCTTTCAGGACGCTCATTTGTGCCAGTATCTACAAGGGTCTTGACATTCCAAGGAGCGACCATAAAAGGTTGCATGTATAGTTTTTTTGGGGGGGTCTGTGATTATGATTGTTTTTTTCGACCACATAAGGATGACGTTACTGGGTGCAGTTGCCCAGTCAGGTTGGTTCTTTGGGCAGGCTCTGTTTAGGGCACGTTTTCTAGCCATCTCCCCATGTGGGGTGAGCAGAGTGGGTCCTCGAGAGGGCTGCTCAGTTGCATAGACAGGACTGGATTGCACTGCTGCCTAAATCCCAGTGCATAAACAACCATCTTATATTTGCCACCCAAGTGCAGAGTTGTGACTAGAGACTCCTGGTAGTCATCTCTGCCTGTCTCCGTCGCCACTCGTCTGTCGCCATAGTACTTTTGGGGATCTAGGGGTTTTGATGATGATGATGAGAAGTATGAGCTTGATGATGACCGCGCGTGAGTTTATTTATGTGGTGAGGCAGGAGCGCAGGCTACAACCACACATCTTTACTCTCCCTTTTCCTGATCCAATGGTGCAAGTGCTGCAACACAAGCACAAACACACACACACACACACACACACACACACACACACACACGCGCACACACACACACGACATGGAGCACCAGTCAGCAGGGACAGTGGGCACAGCTACAGTAAGTATGGAGAGAGCGTAACCCACTGAATACTAAGCCTCGGTGCAAAAGGAGGTAATGTCACTAACACCACACCCAATCAACTTCACTCCCCCAACTAAAGTTAAGCAGCTGTACCCATTCTCAGCTAGACCGATATCCAGGGTGCGAACTACCAACCCTGAGGACAGGATGCGATCACTGAAACCATTCAGCCGGTACCATTAAAGAATGTGACACTTTTTAACCTGCTCTGTACTGTCGAATGCCACCAAAGCCTCCAAAGATGTCGATGATGCCAGGGAAGGGGCCCGGGCCTTGGGGCATGAAGAGATACCCTCGCACTTTGCCATGATGGACACGAACACGGGTCACTCCGGGACCCATCAGGTGGCGCTCCATCATTGTTGACACCACATTCACCTTCTGCTCTTCCTGTTGTGTCACATGACCCTCACATGCCGTCACCTTCACCTATACATGTGGAATATACTTTAGCACCGTTGTAAGAGGATGTTAATCTATACTACATATTCTACATCTTTTAAGTTTATGAAAAGAGAATTTTATGCAAAGATAGAGAAAGGGTTTAATATCCTATCCCATCGCAGGTTCGGCAAATGCTGACTTTCAGAAGATATGATTTTTTTTTATAAGATTAATAATTTTTACATACAAGCAGTTAAAAGAAACTTTGAATACCTTCCAGGGTGTCGTGGGGTCTTCCTTATATAATCTGACTCGTGCATTGGTCACTCCTTTAAGAGTTGACAGAAGACCTGCAGGAAAAACTCCCTTGTAGGACCCGCCCACTGATTCACTGTTACGAACATCCACAGTCCCCTTCTCATCACTGATGTAGTGGGCGTGAGAACTGAACTGTTGATACAGAACATGTAGTAGGGAATAATGCAGTAGCCGCAATACACGTAATGAAGAAGTCGACACTGTTCTTTGTCTGTAAGTATTGCTTTATCTTAGAAGCTGTTATTATTGAGTGCGTTACATATTAGGATCAATAGATTATCTAAGAGAAGAAAGTAAGTACGTGGATACAGGAGATGGAGATGGAACTTTGTAAGTGATATTTCACAATTTACAATACTGTAAACAGTTTGTGGAAAAACATGTGAAACTTTTAGTAAAATGGGTTTAAATCGAGTCACCTTGAGTCTACCAAAATGTCAGTTTTTTCTACTATGTCTTTGATATGTTTGTGTATTTGTAACCTTGACGAGAAGAATTGCAACACATTCAGTTCATTGCACAAAAACTTGGGTACCCTTCATTGTTTGTTGATCGTTGTCTTAAAGGGGCTAAAAAATCCTTTAATTTACTCCAACTAGACAAGTTCCTACACTTAAGATTTTTTGACTCTACTCTATCGCAATGAAATTGTTCCGTTAGTTCAACCCCTTAATTATTAAACATTAATGTTGTTTTTAAGTATGGCTCAACTATTAATAATATGTTAATTAAGAACAGCCCAACCTTGAATGTAAATAGAATTGTTTACTGCATTCCATGTAGGACTTGTAATGGAAAATATGTAGGTCAGACTGGGAAAGCATTGCAACCTTGAATAAAACAGCACAAGTATAATATTTGAACAGCATCTGAAAGCTGTGCACTTTTCGTTCATATAAGGAACAGTAATCATCCCATGAATTGGGAAAACAGCATAGAAGTGTATAAATAAACATGTGTCACAGAAAGACTTCTGGTTGAAGCATGTTTGATAAGGGAAATTAATTCTATAAACCTTAGTGATGGTCAGTACAAAACTGATATGTTCCATAAATTTATTTGTCAGTGACCCAAGGTTAAAAATGCTTTGAAAGCATTTGAGTTAGATGTAGGGTAGATGATTAGTGGGTCTCATATTTTTTACCTGACTTAACATGACTTGTTACATCACCCATTTTTATAATCTCTTCTTTCGTGTGCGGTGGAGGTGGTGTGTGGATTAGTGGATCCCATGCTATTGACCTGACCTGATGTTTTTTAAGGTCACCCTTTGTATATAAGCCTCTCTCAGTTCCTGTAAATTCAAGATAATACCTATAGCCAAGATTAAAACAAGTCCAGTAATAGTCGACCAGAAACTATACCCATACGACACTGAAGGTAGGATGCTTGGATTAAAACTAACAAAAAGAGGATATATAACATACTTAAAAGATAAAGAACGACAGGCAAGAATAAGATTATCAAAAATAAAACGCTTTAAGAACCTTAGCATTAATAACAAAAGAAAGATTTATATTGCCCTTGTTAAATCAATTATGGACTACCCACCCATCCCATTGAACACCCTTAGTAAAACGTGCATTAAAAGGTTACAAACAGTACAAAATATAGCCCTCAGATTTATATATAACATAAAATATACAGACCACATCAATAATGAACAGTTACACAAGAGAGCAAACCTCTTAGCAATCAATGTAGATATACACAACAAAGCTGTAAATATTTGGAAAAAAGTGACTGAACTTAACACAGAAACATATAAAAACTGGATAAATAATATAGACAACGAAGAATTCCAAGAACACAGTTGGTTTAAATCAGCCAGGAAGAAAGTAATTGAACCATCTCCTGCCCCAATATACATATAAAACATTAATAGAGAGAATAAAAGATGAGAGTGACCTACCAGCTCCACAAGAACCTGGCAGGCCTCTCCATACAGTGTACCTTTAGACTAACATAACTAATATTTAACATTTAACATTTAACATTGAACTAACATCTTAGTAAAAAAAAATAAATAAATAAATAAATAAATAAATAAATAAATGTGACTACCCTCCCAGTTACACAAGGACCTGGGCGGGCTCACTAACTCCAACAATAACAAATAATAATAATAAGCAGCATTATATAAATAAACCAATATTAATACAAAGGTCTGACGACCCAAGGGAGCAGAACAAAGACAAAACACCAATAAGAAAGATGAAGCGATCTGGTTGAGCCCAGATTCTTTCTACTCCTACTGTATTTCAGTTTCACCACTTTTCCTTCAACTCCTAATAATCTTCTTTCACCTCTAAACTAAAGACTTCGTATCGTATCGTAAATTCAGTTGCCTCTGAAGATGTCTTGAATAAAGACGAAAGCTAGATTGCTCCATTGTTTCCCTTTTTCCTGTGTGATTTTGTCAAGATTTATCTTATCCACGTTTCCATAGTGGATCTACATGATATATATATATATATATATATATATATATATATATATATATATATATATATATATATATATATATATATATATATATATATATATATATATATATATATATATAATTTTTTTTTACCAGTCCCTGTAAATGTGAGAATCTGGGATGAAGACTTTTTTGGGAATAAAAACGAAGTAACTATCAAAGGCGTGTTTATAAATTCATGTGGGCGTAAACTCCAAGAGGAAGATGATGGAGTTACAGAAGCAACAGAAGGAGTTTTCTTGCGAGAAAAAGTTAAACAGTCAGTTTATGTGGCAGTTAATGTTACAAGGTTAGTATTCTCAGCTTCTGAAGGCTGTGAGGTTTGTGAAGAGTGGATGTCATATCTAGACATTGTACAGACAGACGGCTAAAGACATGATGAGTAATGATAGTAATTAATCTGATGCAATGTCTATGCATTTATAAGCAATCTGTGATGCAAAACAAAAGTAAAGCCGACTTATATTTAAATCTTAACAATAAAAACAGTTGTTTTTCACTCGTATTTACGTGTTTATGAAAAAAAATATGCAAGATGAAGCATATTATAAATTAGGATAAATTAATAGATAATGGAAGTAAATGTGCAGCAAGAGATCCTGCAGTGTACTCATTAACCACCATGGAAATCATATAATCAATTACTAACTTTTGATAAAGCACGATAGAAGAGACCAATCCAGCGGCAATTATTACCTTATCGCCACCATCAGTGTACGTGTCAGCTCGCAGGGTGATGGGGCTGTGAGGATCCACACCAGTCACACGGATGATGGTAGACACATCATGTAAACACACGCGGGGCTCCACCTGCAACACCAGGCCTCCACCACGTCCCTCTACCCGTCCACTCTTATTTGTTACATCTGCCATACCTAGAAAAGGATGAAATTAAAACTGAACAAATACAGATACCAATGCTAACGATACCTAACCAAAGTATCCCCTATGTAAATATAGCCCAGGATATAATGCACCTTGGTTCATTATTTGGTGAAACATGAGGTATGGGGTCCTCGACTACCCTAGTCTTATCACCAAGTCGACCAGCTTATCATGTGCTGCCTAGATTTAAGGTCACATTATCAGATTGGCTATAGTGTACATGGCTTCAGTCGGTGGAATAATGAAGTTGTCTACTTTACACACAAAACACTAAATCTCCTTGTTCATCCTAACACATGAAACCATATTGTCCATTTACTGGGAAGATGATGTACGGACATTATTGATGTCTTCTCTTTCTAATATCGAGGACGTTTTATTTGTATGAGTTTATTTGGAAATATGTATTATTGACAAATTTATGCACCATAAATGTTAGAGTAATAATGACAAATATTCAACGATTTCATTACGCACAGCCCAGTACGATTGGATCAATTTAAGTTATGTAAGACTGGCAACACACATTTAGCATTTTCATTAAAGGATTAGTCATCTCCAGAAACCTAAGATATTTTTCTGGGATTCTTATCTACTGTACATGAACTCTAAAATAAGGGTCATTAGATGTAAGTGGGTAATACTATGTGTCACTGTGGACTACTCTGTATAACAATTAAAGCATAAGGCAAGATATTACTTGTGTAAGAGACAATAAAGAATAGTTGCAGGTGAGCAAACGGGAGACTAGACAAGAAAGAGGATGACAGATATTTTAGTTTTTCACTTACGTGGGGGACATCACCCGCCCTACACACTACTACTACTACGTTATTTTTTTTTTTTACGTGGCCTCCAACCTCCCCCAAAAGCCACACCTTCGCCGCCATTTTATTACCTTAAAATTAAATATCCTAATACATAAGTAACTACCCTAGCTGTGTTGAGTTAGTTGAGCCGCAGATCTATACGGCATTCAGTGACTGTTGCCTCATAGTCAATATCTGCAATTCAACATCTCATCCAGGCTGTATCATAACTTCTGGGCCGCTGCTTCTGTTCGGATAGCACCTCCGCGAGTCTGGCGTAGAAGCATCTTGCACTTGGTCCCATCCCACCAGAGGTTGTGAACACCAGAAGAGTGAAGCTGCCTTGATCAACGTTCTGAATTTTCTCCCCATATGCCCTAATCTTGTCATTCTCGTTCCTCCTGTGTGCAGCATCGAGAGCTAAGTTACGGTGACATGCGGCCATGGGATAAAAAATCCTTATGTCAAAGAAGGCTCGCTGTCCCAGCGTTCAGAATCCTCGAGCACTGATGTCAAAACGGGCTTCGTTGGATGTGTTTGAAGTCCTATGTCGGAAATTCTCACCATCCAATGGAAGGAGGGTCGGTTCTACCCTGACATCATGACAGATTTCCTTCAACATATTTGCTGTGAGATCCCTTACTTCGTCATGCCTCATGCATATGAAACCCCCTTTCTTGCACACCATGGCGTGATCGAAGTCATAGGAAGAGCCACACACGAACTGGGAGGGTAAACCTTGTACTGGCATACCGTACCTTAGAGCAGTGGCATCTGTAAATTCTTGTTTATTGAGACTGAAACCATTTGCCCTTTTCAGTAACGTAGTTAACCAGTTCGAGGCGTCCACCTCCTGCACTATAGCTACTTTTTAAAAAAAATTCTGGTACTTGCAGCATCAGTTGCTGCAACTTATCACTTTGGCCGTGCTGCCGTTCTGTCGTAATGGACCATCGAATCTTGTTTACTTCGCTGGTATCAACCTAACCTGTTGCGTTCTGAGCTATTATGTGGTCAGTGAGGGCTGCCGTGAGCTTAACTGAGTTTTGATGTTCGGTGGTAGCAATCTCCTCTGGATTGGTCAATCCCATTCCTCCCGGTCTCGGTGGTAGTGCAAGGGGTGATCTTTCTGCTGGGGTTAAGTAAAGATGTTTCACTAATTTGGGAATGAAATTGATGCTGATAGCTTCTTCCAGAGGGTGGAGGAGGGGTCCGATATCAGGGATAGTGCGCATCAGGTAGTTCCAGCGATGCTTGACTCCACGGGTGAATGCCGCAAAAGCCACGTGTGGCTCTGTGTTAGCAATATCAGACAGAGCTTGGTTTTCCCTAACCCATTCATTCATCTTTCCCGTTACGTACTCGGTCTTGAAGTCCGTCGTGCTGATTACTGCTCCTAGGTATCTTTGGCCATCCTTTGTTATTTTGACCTCACTTCCACTGAACACCTCCATTGCCCCTTCATAATGTTCTGGCTTCACAATGAGGAAGGACTTGCTGGCATTTGGGTGGTATCCTATTTGTGGACCATTTGATGTTATCAGGTCCCACCACTTTTTGATGTCCTCCACTTTTTCTGCTCCTGTAAGGTCGTCAGCATACGCCACTTGCTTGACCTCGGTTGTTTCAAATTTGATTGTGTGTTGGAGCACGGATAGGCCTATTGCGTACATTGCCATTGCAACAGGGTCCCCCTGCATTGTTCCCTCAGTGGTGTAAAATTAAATTAAAGGGAGGAGACTTACTTATTGTTGGGTGTATCTACAGATCCCCAAACTGTAGCTTACTAAATCAAAGGAACTTAAGAGCCTTAATAGACATTACAGCGATGCTTAACCCTAGCCACCTCCTTATCATGGGGGACTTTAAGTAAGGCGACATCGACTGGAGAAATGAGTTCACGCCAAATGACTTAAATAACCCCGCTACTCTTTTCGTAGAAACTCTGAGATAGTTTTCTGTTCCAACATGTTAAAGACCCGACATATTACAGAGGGAAGCAAACACCCAAGCCACTGGAGCTCATCATAACAAACGAGGAGGGTATGGTAGCCAAACTGGAACATTTAGCCCCAGTTGGCACCAGTCACCATGTAATGTTGTTATTCATATTTAATTGTTTAGTTCACGACAAAACCAGGCCAAGGTGCAACTATTTCCATGGAAATTACGATGGGATGAGGGAAGAGATGAGGGGTATCCACTGGCCTGACTCACTAAGGCATAAGAATGCAGACACTGTGCTGAATATCATAGCTAAAAAAGTGAACCACTTGATCGATAAATATATACCCAAGACCAAACCCAGTGCCTTGAGGAATACGAGGCACATGAAACATGCGGCGGTCGACAAAGTTAAGAAGAAAACCCAGATCTTCAAGACGTGGGTTACGTCAAACAATGAGCAGGACAGGAGGTTGTATGCAAGAACCAGGGACCAAGCAAAGTCAGAGTGTAGAAGGGCTGAAAAGGAGTTCCAGAGGCTGGTTGCAAGCGAGGTCAAGTCAAACCCAGAGGCGTTTTACCGCTATTAAAAGGCGAAATTATAAACGCGAGTAGGAGTATAGGACCTGACGCTTGAAGATGGTAGCTACGCAGATTCTGACCAAGACAAAGCTGAGGCATTGAACAGCTTCTTTTCCTCGGTGTTCACAAGAGAGGATGCGATTAACCTACCTGCGTTTGAGGACAGATGGTTCGACACAGCACTGATACACATTGTGTTCACAGAAGAGGTTATAAGAAATAACTGACAAAGCTAAAGGTTCATAAGAGTTCCGGCCCTGACATGGTGCATCCTAGAGTGCTAAGAGAGTTGTGTAACGAGCTTGCCGAGCCCCTGAAGATCTTGTTCTGTAAATGCCTGGATGAACAAAAGGTCCCCTGTGAATGGAAAATGGCTTATGTGAGTCTTATCTTCAAAAAGGGCGATCGTCACTCCACGAACAACTATAAACCGGTGTGCTTGACCAGTATAGTATGTAAAGTGCTTAAGAGCATTATCAGAGATGCCACGATGGAACATCTACTACGAAACAACCTTGTAAAGGATTGCCAACACGGATTTATGCCGGGGCGCTCCTGCTTAACAAAATTACTCAAGGTACTGGATATTTGGATTCATATTCTGGAACAGGCTTTCGACAGTGTACCCCATGAAAGGCTGAAAATTAAACTAGATGGTTTCTACATGACCACAAGCAGGGTGTGGTGATTAATGGCACGAAATCACCATGTGTACCCGTCACAAGCGGGGTACCACAGGTCAGTGTATTGGGCCCGCTGTTGTTTGTTTGCTTCATAAATGACATGCCTGACTCTGTACATTCCTCCATACAAATGTTTGCGGATGAAGCCAAGTTCTTTCCGGAAACTAAGAACCAGGCAGACTGTGAAGAGCTGCAGAAGGATCTCTGTAAGCTCCAAGAATGGTCCAAGAAATGGCTGCTAAGATTTAATGTCACTAAGTGTAAGAGGATGCACCTGGGACGTAGCAACGGTAAGGAGGTGTATCATATGCCCAAACGGGATGAAGAAACTGCATTAATTGAGACTGACTGTGAAGAGGACCTAGGTGTGTATGTTGACAAAGGAACCTAGGTGTGTATGTTGACAAAAGAACCTAGGTGTGTATGTTGACAATGAGCTGAAGTTCTCGGGCCATTGCGAGAAGAAAGTAAATCAGGCAAATGAATTATTAGGTCATATAAGAAAGTCGTAACGATCTTCAAGAGTGATGTGCTTCCCCATCTTTAGTACTGTCACCCCGCATGGTCCCCCAGATATGCTAGGGACTGTCAGTTGATTGAAAATTTCCAAAGGAGGGCCACTAGACTGGTGCTTGTACCTCAGCTACCCTGAGAGACTGGTGCGATTGAACTTGCCTAGCTTATACTACAGACAGGCAAGGGGAGACCTAATTGAGGTGCATAAGCATCTCAAAGAGCAGTACTCAGTCGAGTGTCCTTACCTGGAGCAGGCGGACGCTCGCCCCACAAGGGGTCACAGATCAAGGTTGAAGAAGCTGCAAGCCCAGAAAACTGTGAGGTGTAACTTTTTTGGAGAGAGAGTTGAAAACTCTTGGAACAATCTGCCAGAGTGTGTTGTGACGGCACTGCGTGTGAGCTCTTTCAAGACCAGACTTGACAAGCACTGAAGCAGGTTTATCATCTACAGAGACTGGATCATCATTTGGTGCATGTACAATCTCTGCTTTTTTTGGTAACGTATTTTAAAAGACCTTTGATACAAGTAACATGTGGAAAGCAGCACTGACAACAAGATGCCCACGGACAGCCCTGGCAATTGCCTAACCACTGAGGATGTATGGTACAGCATTACTGGCATAGAGTTTGTAACAACTCCTGAAGTCCAAACTCTGACATTATGTGAACAATACATCCACGGTAGCTCAACACAAAACAAAGAAATATGTTGATGAAATCAGCCTCCATTAAGTATAACTCGGTTATTTGATGGCCATTTTCAATTTATGCATTTTAGACTGTATTCCCATTTTCTTTTCAGTTATACTTTTACTATTTTATTTGAGTCATGTGTTCAAGTTGAATAACGTTAAAATAATTAGTATTGCAATTTGTTCTGGGTCTTTCAATATTTTCCCTAGTCTAGTTTGTCTTAAGACTATTCTTATACCTTTTCCGTTGTCCGCCACCGTTACGTTAACATTCGTTATTTGGCTAAAGTAGATCCTTTGGCAGTCTGCTGTCCTCCATGCCGGTAACATAGCAAGTCCAACGTAGTTGTTTATGGATAATGGTAGCCTCGATGCTCCTAGAGTTAGTGTCAGCGAGAATACTGGCATTTGTTTTCTTGTCTTCCCAGCCAAAGGCTTGAGATGCACATCTGACCTGATGTTGAATCTCTTCATCGACGTCCGCGGTGGTGGACAGGTGGGAGCCAAGGTACTAGAAATGAGTGACATTAGTGAGAGTAGTGCCGTTAAGTGGGATGGATAGTGGAGGTGTGATTGAACAAGGCCGAAGAGTGCATACACATCTGTGTAGGTGTTTAGGATCTCTTGTAAGTTACGTTCAGTGTGAGGGACGGGGGTGAGGTCGTTTGCATACTGAAGTTCAGTGATTGAAGCGGCTGACACAATTATTCCTGCCTGGAGTCGTCTATGTTAAAATGAGTCTTCATCCGGTGCTGGACGTCCACCCCGCCGGGTAAATTGAAACTGGCATGAGTAAGGAAGGCAGCCAAGAAAGCCGGAAAGAGAGTTGGTGCCAGTAGACATCCTTGTTTTACCCCCGTTTGGATGGGGAAGAACTCAGATTGGGTGCCATTGCACAGGACACTGCCCCTGATGCCACCGGGCAGTTGCCTCACAATAGCAATGAATTTTGGTGGGCAGCCAAAACGACTGAGGGTTCACCAGAGGGCTTCCCTGTTGATCAAGTTGAAGACCTTAGTAAGGTCAATGAAAGCCATGTACAAGTCATGACGCTGTTCACTGCACTTTTCTTGTTTCTGGCGGGCAGAAAAGATCATGTCAGTGCTACCACGTGATAGTCTAAAGAAACATTTAGATTCTGGGAGGAAGTTTTCTGCCTTATGAAGAAGTCTGTTTAGGAGGACTCGGGCGATAATCTTGCCAGCTACGGACGACAGTGAGATCCCTCTATAGTTACCACAATCTGACCAGTCTCCTTTGTTCTCCCATATATTGTCCAGGAGAGAGTGGGGACGGCTGGTAAGCGGAGGTCCTCCTGCTTTATACACCTCGACTGTAATTCCATCAGGCCCTGTGGTTTTGTAATTTTTCATCTGCTTGATGGCAGTAGCTACCTAATCCAGGGATGGAGGATAGCCGAGGTGGGTCAGCTCTGGGTGCTGAGGGACCTGCTGGGTAGTCAGCACAGCCACATCAGTGTTTCGGTTGAATAGCAAATGGTAGAGCTCTTTCCAGTGCTGACGGATGCCTTCTTCGTCTCTAATTAAAGAGTTACCGTTGGATGAGCGGAGGGAGTCACGCCATGAGTGGTTGGGCCATTCATTGTTTTAGTGCAATTGAAAAATTAACGCATCTTGTGTTGATCTGCAATTTTTTGCAATTCACACGCTCTAATTTTCCACCAATTCTTAATTAGTTTGCGAAGTTCGCTTTCTACTCGTAAAAGGTATCAGCTTTGGTCCAAGTCTTAGAATTGGTCTATCAGTCAGAGAAAGCAGCACTTATACCATCGACGAGTACTATGATTTTCGGGTCGTTTTCATTAAAACCAACCCCTGTGTTTTCTTTTAATCTGGCAGAGGGTCTCGTCCCAGGTTTTTTGTAATGACAGCTTTAATGGGACCCCATTTGGCACTCGGATTTTGGTTGTTTGATATTGGGTTGTTTATCAGCTCATCGTTGAGCTGTTCTCTGAAAGCATGTGCTACCACTGGATATTCCAGGCGATTAGTGTTAAAGTCTCTTCTAGAGGCTTGTTGCCTTCGTCGTTTAGAGGCGACGTGAGGGGAGAGTTTGGCTCTGACGAGCCGATGATCAATGTCACAGTGCTCTGACCCACGCATGGCTCATGGCTCGGGTGATGAGGAGATCTCGGCGATCTCTTTCTATAACGATGATATAGTCAATGAGATACCAATGTTTGGGTCGTGAGTGCTTGCCAAGAACCCTTAACTTGTCGGCCTGCCTAAACAAGGTGATGGTGATAGTGAGGTTATGTTCAACATACTTGCTGAGGAAGAGTAGACCGTTGGGATTACACTTGCCTACTCCACTTCTTCCTATGGTTCCTTGCCATATGTCAGCATTTCTGCCAACTCTGACTTTAAAGTCACCTAGGAGCACAATCTTATCTTCTTTGAGGATAGAGGTTAGCATTCTTTCAAGGTCGGCATAAGAAGCCTCCACTGCATCCAGTGTTGGGACGTATGTACTTATGAAGAAGGCATGACGCGAGTGATTCAGTGGGACTCGAAGAGTCATAAGGCAATCTGTTGATCTCAACAGGCATTTCAGTTAGCCTATGTAGGGTGCATTAGCGGATGGCAAAGCCAACATCATAAATGCGGTTTCTCTCCACAGCAGGCTTACCCTCAATCTGTGAGTCGATCCTAGTCTGGGAGTCGGGACTCACTAATGGCTGCTCTGTCGATGTTATAACCTAGCCAGCTCTTTTGCCACTAGGGCAGTTCTTCTTTCAGGATGCTCATTTGTGCCAGTATGCAGAAGGGTTCCGACATTCCATGTATTGACCATTAAAGGTCGTTTTGTTTGTTTGTGCTTTGATCTGTGATTGTGATTATGTTTTCAACCGCATAAGGATGACCTTACTGGGTGCGATTGCCCAGGCAAGCTGGCTCTTTAGGCAAGCTATGTTTAGGGCACCTTTTCTAATCCCTTTGTGTTAAGCTGCTCAATCGCACAAACAGGACCGGATTGCACTTCTGCCTAGATCCCAGTGCATAAACGACCATCTTATGTATGCTGCCCATTTGCAAAGTTGTGACTAGACACTCCCGGCAGTCGTCTCTGCCTGTCACCGTCCCCAATCATCTGTCGCCATAGGACTTTTGTGGAGATAAGTGCTTTGATGTTGAAAAGAAGTATGGTGAGCTGGATGTTGGCTGCACGTGAGTTGATTTATGTGGTGAGGCAGGAGCGCACACTGCAACCATACATCTTAGCTCTCCCCTTTCCTGATCCAGTGGTGCAGGTAGTTGCAACGACTGGGGAGAGGGAGAGATGGAATATACTGCTGATAACCCAGTTTGTTGGATTTTGCCTTGTTATCCTGTCCATCTTGCATTGCCTTCATCCGCTTGTGTAGTCGTTGGGTTTTCCTGTTGGTCACCTTTTCCGCAAATACCGCCGTTGGGGTCTTATTAGAGCTCTGTATGCAAGTCTGACTGATGCGGGGCTTCATCGCAAATTTTTCGTTTGGAAATTATTCCCGTATCCTTATACCTACCAAGGTTAATCCGCAACTCAGCAGGGCAGTGGTTGATAGGCGCCACTGCGTGTCCACATGCCAGTGGGCCAATGCGCCCGCGTCCCTCTGGGGCCCGCTGCTGCTCCGAGATCCCCTGCTGGTCTGGATTGGGGCGGCGTGGCACCCAGTTACCGTGTGTTGCCATGAGGAGGCACAGCAGGAATCTTGATAGTGAAGAGGCTGTGTACTGGCAGGGGAAGACTTATGCAAGGTTGCTTCCCTGTTCACCACGAGGGCTAGCCAGGGGCAGTAGCTGAAAGCAAGAGGAAGCAAGCAGTGCCTGTACCTTAACACTAACATAATGCTCCCAGCCTCCCACATTAGACGCATTACACCACCCTGTGCACGCACACACACACACACACGCACACACACACACACACACACACACACACACACACACACACTCAAGGCAAGACATCTTGATATAGTGATAAGATAGAATAAAATAGTGGTGCACCACAATGTATCTGTTGCCCTCCGTCCTTCACTTGAGATAAACTGTATAAACCTGGCCCTGACTTCAGGTTGGATATGATTATGCATGTTCTTAATTAATGCCGCTTTCACTTCTCTTGGGCTTTCATCACAATCGTAAATTCTGTGTTTTCTACTACATTTTAAAGAGACGGAGAGCAAGGTCGATAAATCTGGAATCTGAGTTTATTGTAGCTGTTGACCACTGTGAGGAGTATTACATCTTTGGCTCCTTAAAATTATGCTTAAAGTATTATAACTATAAGACATTATGGAGCTGGAAGTGTTTACAGTAGGTTTATTCTTTTCCAATTGACTTAAATACTGACATATTTACAAGGGTGAACGCAGCTTAGGTTTGTGTCAGTTATCACGGAAAGGAATACCCTACATCACCACGTTATCAGTGATTACAGCATTATGGTGCTCACGAATGTGGTTCTTCTTGTTGGCCAAGTTTGAGCTGAATTTAATTCGGTCTTGAAAGAGTTTACAAACATTTAATTGGGCCTAAGAATAACTAGGTCATCATTTGGTTACCGCAATACATTCTTGTCGTTGAAACAAAATTTGAAATTTTAGTGGCAAATAATTTCAGCTATGTCACGCAACCCTTGTAATCGAAGCTGACTTGACCCAAAGTAAGACCCAGAATGTCTTGTGATAAACAAACGGTGACATAGTTAAGGGAGGTCTATTCCTTATCCAATTTATGAACACCACTCACACTTCCATGCAGGAAAACCATGTAAGGTAAGCAGGAAAAATTCCATATTCTTCCATATTATAAAAATTCACACAACGGGGAGTTCCAATGTTATGTTTGGGTCATCGAATTCCGGTTTATATTTCCTCGCCAGATTGAATGTTGTCGCAGTTTAAAAGAGATACAAATAGTGAAGCTATAATTTATATCGATGGAGTCTATAAGTGGTAATAGAAACGATAATGAATTAAGGAACTTAATTAGAATAATCGTTCATTCATATTCCCAATGACATTATCGCATCGTTTGACTCACGAAACTAAGCGTAGCATTTCACGGAGAAAACTTTTTTCCAATATGAATGTCCTCCTCTTGTAACCACGCTTTGGTATCTGCCTGAGCCAACGATTACACTGCCCTGCATAGTTTTTGAGGTTTGTGTATTATTAAGCTTTTCTGGGTGTATTTTGCATGCTGATCTCAAAAATGTTATCCATTTTGCTCAATCAGGTCAGAATTTTGTGCTATAGCATTTTAAGCGGAGATTCAGGTAAAATATTGGCATTTTTCGCTCAAAATGGGGTCCTCAGCCATCAAACCAGTTCCTCACGGACCAGGAATACCAATTCCAACTCCACCAGAAAACTATAGGGACATGATACTCGATGACGATCATGATATCGATGAAGACATAGAAGAGACTGACGCTTCTAGTACATACTTGCCCACAGCTTCTGCAAAAGAGCCCATACCCTTCAGTCAAGCTGAGTTGAATGATTTAACAAGAGACTTGTGCTTGTCTAAGGAGTCAGCTCAACTACTAGGATCACGGCTTGCGAACACAATGTCTTAGCACCAGGAACAACATTTGCCTGGTACCGTAACCGTGACAAGGAATTTCGCAAGTTCTTCAGTTTTGACAAGGAAACTTCATTGGTGTATTGCAACAATATTAGTGGACTCATTGCAGCTATGGGAATATCATACAATATATCAGAGTGGCGGCTCTTCATTGACTCATCAAAAAGAAGCTTGAAAGCTGTGTTGTTGTTCAATGGAAACCAGGTCGCGTCTGTTCCGGTGGGGCATTCAGTGCAGATGGATGAGAACTACAACAACATGGAGTATCTGTTAACTGCTCTGAAGTATAAAGACCACAATTGGAAGATCTGTGGAGACATGAAGGTAATTTGATACACCAAAAACAGTTGCTTTCAAAAATTGATATTTTGTCGACAGTTTTTCTAATAGGTAATTATGTCTGCCGACATACTGTCATATTATGAAGTGTTAATATTTTTTAATAATAAAACTATTCAGCTAAACATATTTTTAATCTGTTTTTTCCACAGGTTGTGTCCATGGTGCTGGGCCTACAAGGTGGTTACACCAAGTTTCCATGTTTCTCTGTCTGTGGGATAGTCGAGCAGACAAGCAGCACTACATGCAACGTGACTGGCCTGCAAGAAGTGGACTTACTCCAGGTTCTCACAATGTTGTTGCCCATGCTCTGGTGAATCGGCAGAACATTCTTCTTCCGCTACTGCACATCAAGCTCGGTCTGTTCAAAAACTTTGTAAAGGCACTGGACAAAAAAAGCCAGGCTTTCAATTTTCTGAAAGAAAAATTTCCAAAAGTCAGTGAGGCAAAGCTGAATGCAGGGATTTTTGATGGCCCTCAGATCAGAGAGCTTTTCAAAGATCCCAAGTTTGATTGCAGCATGGATGTAAATGAGAAGAAAGCCTGGCATGCCTTTAAGTCTATTGTCTCCAATTTTCTTGGCAACTACAGAAGTCCAGAGTATGGACGAGTTGTTGAGGACCTACTTCTGAGCTACAAAGTTCTTGGTGCACGCATGTCCATCAAGATGCACTTCCTCAGCTCCCACTTGGACTACTTTCCAGAGAACTGTGGTGATGTGAGTGAGGAACAAGGAGAACGCTTCCATCAAGATATCCGTGTAATGGAGGAGCGGTACCAGGGTCGCTGGGATATCAACATGCTCGCCGACTACTGTTGGTGTCTGAAACGGGACGCCCCAGACACCAACCACCAAAGAAATTCTCTGCGACAGCCATTTATGCATGTCTAACTGTAAAGGCATCTATGTAGTTGACATATTTTGGTCCTATGTGTTGTGGTTACATTCCTTATGATATATTTTGCATAAAAATTTGACATCATATTTAAGAATTTCGATTTTTTCCTAATTCCCATAGCATAAAAATCTGACCTGATTGGGCAAAATGAATGGCATTTTTGGAATCAGCACGCAAAATACATAAAGAGTCAGCTAAGAAACCCAGTACCTCATGATTTTTTTTTTCAAATGCAGCCCAGTGTTATCTACTTCATTTCAGTATTTCACCTATGACGCCTTGTTCCGTGCAAGTGGAACTTGTCAAACTCCGAACCTAAGTCAACAGAGTTTGTAAATGTTTTTAAGTAATGCGAGTAAATTTTTAAGACGAGATATTATTCTTTCAATAAAACCATGTTGTGATACACTAATGAGTCTGTTAGGTCAGGTGTTGGATGATGACGCACCTCAAACTTTTCTCAGAGTTTGCAAATATGATATGTTAAGCTGATTTTCTGCCGCCCTCTATTTACCTTTCTTGAATATTGTGGGTAACGTTGGCTAAAATCTATCCCTGGGATTTTCTGACTAAGAGTCGTAGTATAGTGATCATCTCTCTCGCCACATTCTTTACCACTTTGTTATGTGCTCTGTCCGCTTCACCACTTTTTGATGCCTTCAGGCTGTTTATCTTTTCCATGATGATTTCATCAGTGATTGCCATTGTTATTGGCACGTTATCAAGAGTGTCCTGTATGAACACTAATATGAAATATAATTTAGGGTATCTGTTGCCTCATTATCGTCATTCAGTCAAGCCTTAGGCCAGTGATTTTCAACCTTTTTCATCTCACGGCACAGTGAGCCAGGCACTAAAATGGTAGAGGCACACCATCAGTACTTAAGGATAGATTTGATCATTTAAAAGAAAATGAATGATAAGAATTAGTTCATAATTTTAAAAAAACTAATAATTTATTAATTCTATTGCCAAAAGTATATTGTTGATAATAGTTTTCAAATTAATTTGAAAGTTTTGTGCATATTTGTTATTACTACTGTACACATTGAAAAAAGATGTCATTGAGAAAGATGCCATTCATTAAAAAATATTATAATACTTTCAGATATAGATTGTATTCAAATACAAACATGAGTAAAAGTAAAAGGCCATTGCTTACATAAAATTATCAGTGGGAAACCTGTGCTTGGTGTTGTCTCATGATGTTCCTTGTCCGAGGTCGAATGGTTGACAGGCATGCCCTCAAGTCCTCCTCCAGTGTTTGAAGCCGGGACCTGTTCTTGCTTTTCATTGTGTTCATAGCAGAGAAGCCAGCTTCACACAGATACGATGTTGAGAAAGGAAGAAGTGCTTCAATTGCCTTCTTTGTAATGATGGGGTATTCCTCTCGAAGGGACAACCAGAATGAAGTCATAACTGTTGATAGGTGCTTCAGTTTCAGTCCTCTGTCGTTTCTGATTTCCGTCAGCTCATCCTCTTCGGCAACAGTTAATCCTGCAGACTCGCACGCACTTACCACAAACGGATCTCTATTTAAGCTCCCGTGGCACACCCTCGGATGCTTCGCGGCACAACGGTTGAAAATCGCTGCCTTAGGCTATAATGGGCCAATATCTTTAATCTTCATTTTGCTTCTAGTTTCCGTCAACAAGCTAGTCACGAGACAAACGATGATGACATGATCCCAAAACGTTAGAGACTAAAACGACTTACATTTGTAAATAAGGGAAATACTGAAAAAGAGTCACCCGTATCATTAAACAACATCTTCTTTTGAAGAGGATAGTCGTGTTTCAACCAGAGTTTTAAACTAAATGA